TTTGGGAGGTTTTCGGCATACGCGCGCGACGACGCGCGCGTCTGCACTTCGTCCAATTTTTGCAGAGGATTCTCGCGACGGCACGCGCGCAAGGGCGTTTGACAGATTTCGACATGCGCGCGCGCGACGCCCGTTTAATAGCATGTTGTGAACACCTTGAAAAAACAATGCTTTTCTTAAGATTTCGCAAGAGCTCGTGCGGAAGCTTTTTTAGCACATCAGTGTTGCGAAACCCTGTGTTTTTGTATGTTTTTTGGATAATCGATTGCGAAATCCTTCGGGCACCGAAGGTTTTTGAAGGATTTCGGCATGCGCCCGCGACGACGCGCGCGTGCGCACTCCGTCCAATTTTTTGCCAGGGATTAATGAAGAAAAGTGCTATGTTAGCACAAGCAATGTCATCGTATAGTGTTTTTTACAAGGGACCCTCAGGGGGGGGATACCGCCCCCCCTGGGATAGTGTAAATTCATATTTAGGATGGACATGTGGTCATAATCATATATGATTTACATACCCGAAAGGGGTAGCGATAACGCCGGGGGGGGGGGGGTAGATCCTATTCTGTTTTTAGAACAGAGAATATATGTTGCGCAACTGATTCTAACAAACGAGTTGACACATCCCGCGCTCTTGCAAACATCCCACCCACCCACCCGCTCCTTGGTTTGCAAAAACCACGACGACGATGACGGCGCCGACGACGACGACAACGACGACACCGACGACGACGACGACGACGTCAACGACGCCGACGACGACGACGACAACGACGGCGGCGACGACGACGACGCCGACGTCGGCGACGACGAAGACGACGACGACGCCGACGCCGACGACGACGACGAAGACGACGACGACGTCGCCAACGAAGACGACGACGAGGGAGGAGGGAGGACGACGACGGCGACAACGACGACAACGATGACAACGACGAGGGAGGAGGGAGGACGGCGACGACTCGAACGACGAAGAAGGAAGAAGGACGGCGACGCCGACGACGACAACGACGAGGGAGGAGGGAAAACGACGACGACGACAACGACGAGGACGACGACGACGACGGCGCGATAGGAGGGACGCCGACGAGACCCCGACGACGGACGACGACGACGACGACGACGAGGGAGGAGGAGGAAGAACGACCACGGCAACAACGACGACGGAAACGACCACGACGCCAAAGAGGATGACGACGACGAACACGAGGAAAGACAGAGGACGACGAAGGCGACGACGACGACGACGACGCGGGAGGAGGGAGGACGGCGACGACGACGACGACGACGACGACGACGCCGCAAGAGCGCGCGCGCACGCTTTTGTTGAAAATCCGTGTTGCGAAACCTTGTGTTTTCGTAGGTTTTTTTGGACACACGATTTTGAAATCCTTCCGAAACCGATGGGTTTTGAAGATTTTCGGCATACGCGCGCGACAACGCGCGCGTCTGCACTTCGTCCCGTTTTCTGCAAAAGATTCTCGCGACGGTACACGCGCAAGGGCGTTCGACAGGTTTCGACATGCGCGCGCGCGACGCCCGTTTGGTAGCATGTTATGAAAATCTTGAACAGCCAATGGTTTTCTTAAGATTTCGCAAGAGCTCGCGCGGAAGCTTTTTTAGCACATCAGTGTTGGAAACTCTGTGTTTTTGCAAGGTTTTGGAAACTCGATTGCGAAATCCTTCCGGCACCGAAGGTTTTTGAAGGATTTCGGCATGCGCGCTACGACGCGCGCGTGTGCACTTCGTCCATTTTTGCAAAGGAATCGCGAAAAAGTGTCATGTTAGAACAAGAAAAGTCACCGCATAGTGTTTTTTACAAGGGAACCTCAGGGGGGGGGAACCCGGCCCCCCGGGGATAGTGTAAATTCATCTTCAGGGTGGACATGTGGTCAGAATCATATACGATTCACATACCCGAAAGGGGGACCGATAACGCCGGGGGGGGGGGTAGATCCTATTCTGTTTTTTGAAACAAAAATTATGCGGGGCAGCCTATGTTGCGGCTGCGAAGCGGCGACGGGGCGGCGACGGCGGTATCATGGCCGCCAGACCGCCAGACAGGTCCACACGACGAGCGGCGACGAGGCGGCGACGGCGCGGCGACGGCGGCAACAAGTGCTGTGACCGACAGAGAGGCCGAGGTACGGCGGCGAAGCGGCGACGGGGCGGCGACGGCGGTGACATAGCAGCCGGACCAACAGACAGGCCCAGGTCCTCACAGTAGAAATGAGAAAGCAGAGGAGCACGCACTGGTTGGGATGTGTGCACATACACACATATAGGTACGTGCTTGTACCAATCAGTCAATCAATCTCTGCGGGGCAGTGTTTAACAGCCAACTCCGAAAGTGTGTGGTGACCATATGGCCAATCACTCACTACATTCTCAAACTATGATTGGCTTTCTAAACTTGCCCTGAGGGCCTACGTCTGTAGGGATGACTTGGTGCGGGGGGGGGCCTCATGGAGTCTGCAGCGTCCTGTGTTGGGGGACTTAGGGGCGGCCACGTATATGCGTATGTATGTGTATATGTATATGTGTATATGTTTATGTTTATGTGCTTGTCGATGCATTGGTACATCTATATATATATATACATTCATGTATATATGTGAGCGAATGCGTATATGTGTGTACTCGTATGTCTATGTCTATGTCTATGTCTACGTATATGCATATATACATGTATAGATATGTATATATACATATATATATATATATATTGGTATGTATTTCTGGGAAGACGTGAGACTCGGGTATGGGGGACTCGGGTTGGCCTGACGGGGCCATCGCAAAAGTGACGGAACCCAATCTGGAATTTGACGCGAGATCCCGCTGCAAACATTACACGGATGCTGGACCGTCAAAATCTAGGACGTGTTCGTAAAAAAAACTCGGCAAACCCGGGTTCCGTCTCGAGTCTGACGTTTCCCCGGTATATGCATAGGTATACGTATAGGTATTTGCATAACAATATGCATGTGTATATGTATACGTATTTGCATGTGCAATTTGTATTTGTGTTGTGTATGTGCTTATGTATACGTATGCGTGTGGTTATACGTGTGTATGTATACATGCAGTTGCAAAGTTGTATACTCTATGTATGTATGTCTGTATGCATGTGTGTATGTGTGTATGTATGTATGTATGGATGTATGGATGTATGTATGTATGGATGTATGGATGTATGTATGTATGTATGTGTGTATGTATGTATGGATGTATGGATGTATGGATGTATGGATGTATGGATGGATGTATGTATGGATGTATGGATGTATATACGTTTGTACATATCTATATACATACATACGCATGTGGCAGGTTCCGAGAAACCTGACAAGATAAACGCTGCCATCTCTTGGAAGGCAACTTTTTACATCCGCCGGCTTCCGCCGGCCTGCCGCCAGCGGGGCCGCCCCCGCTTTACCTCCGCTGCCTTCCGCCGCCCTTCTGCCGCCCAGCCCCGGGGAAGAGATGGCAACCCCTTCAATCCTCGAACGCAGGGCCCTTTTTGGAACAGCTCATCTTGGAAAGCTCTGAGAGCTGGCGGGTGTGGAGGATGGATCGGGGCCCGTGGCCCCCCGGAGCGCAGGAGCTCGGGGCCACCCAGCCGCGGCAACGAGAATCTCTAGGACCGCCAGGAAGCCTGAGAATGCATTCCCGAACCTCCACCTTCTGCGCGGCGACGGATGGAGGCGACAAACATTCAGAGCGGCCGCAGCTGAAGCGGCGTGTCTGGACCCTCTGACCGGCAGAGCGGATCGTGGCTGCCGCGTGCGGAGGAACAGGCGGCCCTCCGCCCCACGGCCGCGGCCGCGGCGAAGAGAAGCACAAGGCCACCGACGGCGAGCGCGGGCGGGCGCTGCCGCGCCTCCCCTGCCTGCTTGATCGAGTACAGGACCGTCACGCCCTGCGCGGGGCTCGACTGCAGCTGCACCTGCAGCCTCCACGCCAAGGGCCCGCCCTTCAGCTGGAAGATCGCCAGGGGCCCCGCCATCGGTGCCGGCCGGTCGTGCTCGTCGCCGAGGGGGAAGGGGCCGGCGGCGCTGGGGTCGGAGCTGTGCGGCATGATCGTGTCAAAATCGACGTCCGCGCCGTCCAGCGTCGCGCTCTTCACGGACTGGCCCCGCCGGAGGTGCATGCGCACCACCCACGTGCGCCCGGCCGCCTCCTCCGGCTGGGTCAGGAGCAGCTGCACGAGGCCGCTGCCGTCGGTGCTCAGCTCGAGGTCTGTGCGCGCGCTGGTGCGCCTCTCGTAGATGGCCCGCCCGGTGGTCAGGGAGGCCGCCGAGGGGAACACCTCCACCGTGAGCGAGGCCCACTTCTGGTCGGCAGTCCGCGTGACCTTCTCCTGGGATATGACGAGCATTCCGCCGTCGCGTCGGTAGTACATCGGCTGCCGCTGGAAGGGCTGCGACGCCTCGAGCTCCTGGGGGCCCTCGTAGACCCTCCCGCTCCAGACGTCCTGCCACTCCCCGGGCGGGATCCAAACGGTCCTGGCCGTGACGTTCTCCTCGCTGTCCGTGATGGGCGCCACGAGCAGGTCCCGCAGGAAGATGGCCGAAGAGGAAACAGCTGCACAAACATAAACTTTCGAAGGTCCTCCTCCTCCTCCTCGTCCCCAGTCCCTCCTCCTCCTCCTCCCTCCCTCCCTCCCTCCTCCTCCTCCTCCTCCTCCTCCTCCTCCTCCTTTTCCTCCTCCTTTACCTCCTTGTCGTCCTCCTCCTCCTCCTCCTCCTCCTCCTCCTCCTCTTGCGTCGGCGCTGGACCCCCTTCGATGATGCTCAGAATGTGTGTTAGCGCCAACGTTTGTTGTTCCACCGGCGCCCTCCGATGCGACGCAGGCGGCGCAGTCGATGAGTGCCAGCACGGGCTGCGTGCTATCGACCGACGAAGCTGAACGGGGCAAACACGTTGGGATACCACACGTTCTGATGATCATCGATCCCTCCCTGGCGAGCGGAGCGGGCCAAGGGCGGCGCCGCCAGGGGGGTTCAAGCGAACACCAAAGAGATCCGCGCGGGCCCTCGAGCAAAGTTATGCCCGTGCTGGGCTTTCTCCTTCGAGATGTACTGGTCGCTGCGGGAGCTCCCCTTCTCCAGGGGCCAGAAGAGGTCGCCGCGGGCCGCGAGCGGGAAGCCGCCGCTCGTGGCCTCGCGGCCCGCGGCAATGAGGGTGGGCAGCAACTTGTAGCGCGCGCGGAGGTAACTGCGGACCGCGTCCTCAGTCTCCCCGTCGTAGGACCACGGCCTATGGTCCTCGCCGTGGTAGCGCAGGATCGTGCCGAAGGCGCAGTGTGCCGTCCATCGCAGCAGGTCTCCAGCCGAGCCACGCTTGTCCCCGCCGCAGTCGGAGTGGACAAAGGGCTTGAAGTCGTGGACGCCCGCGTCGACCATGGATTCGACGCTCGCCTGCAGGTTCACGTTGTCGCCCGTCCACCAGACGGGGTAGCGGTGCTGCGCGGGGCTCTCGGGGGGCCGGTTGGAGCCCTTGGGGCCCGAGCCTGGCCGCGCGTCGTCCCTCGCAAACTTGGTCAGCGTGACGCCGCGGCTGTTGTCGGTCCCCCTGCTACCCAGCATCCTGTGGAACCTGTCCACGATGGTGAAGTAGACGTGCGACCCCCAGGCCGCGTTGCCGAGCCCCAGCCAGTTGCCCGCCGTGCCAGACTGGTTCACCGTCGGGGGGGGGATCGAGATTCCCCAGTTGACGTCGAACCACCAGAAGTCGAGCCCGCGGGCCATCCAAGTGGTCAGGCCCTCCCAGCGAAAGGCCACCTCTTCGGGGGAAGTCTGCAGGCCCCCCGCGCCCCTGCCTGCGACAGGGAACGGGTGGTCGTTGAAGAATGTGCGCAGACCCTTGCCCCGCAGGTACGAGAAGAACGCGTCGAAATTTGAGAAGAGGTCGGTGTTGGGGTGGTCGTAGAAGCGGTCCTTGCCGTCGCTGACGTGGCGCCAGTTCATGTCCAGGCCCCACACGTCCAGCGGCAGGTCGTCGGTGTCCCACTGCTCGATGTCGTCCTTGGCCTCTTCCTCGTCGTAAGGGTGCCACCACGTGAACCAGGTCCCGTACGCATAGTCTGGCAGGACCGGCACGGGGCCCGTCAGGGCGGCGAACTCCGCCCGGGAGGCCATCCAGCCGTCGAGGTCGTCGCCGAGAAGGAACACGTACGTGTCGCCCTCCACCCCGTTGTCGAAGTCGTAGCCACTGGTAGGCTCCAGGCCCGTGCCGACCTCGGCCTTCGGCGGCACCGGCGTTGCACCCCACTCTGGCTGGTGGAAGCGCGGGTGGTCGACCAGCGCGTAGCTGGAGGCGGCGAGGGGCGCGGGCCAGGCTAGCAGGTGCCGCGCCTTGCTGTAGTCCTGCAGGGAGTCGTAGAGCACGGCCCCCGACGCGCTGCGGACCTCGAAACTGAGGCGGGGGGGCCGCACACCGAACACCCGGTTCTTCTGGCCCTTCTTCAGCGAGAGCCACATGTTGAGCGTGTAGCACTGGGCCAAGTCGACCGTGTACACCCAGGCGTTGCAGGTCGGGTCGCTGGCGCACGCCGCACAGCAAGCGTCGCTGTCTGGCACCAAGATGCCGTCGGGGTACTTCGACGAGCGCGTTCCGCCGGGGTCCGTCTCCACGTCGGTGTCCTGGAGCATCTCGCCGCAGGCGGGCGGTTCAGACCCCCGCAAGACGACGTCGTAGAACTCGGTCCGCACCACCTTCCCGTCCTCCGTGTTCTTCAGCTCGGCGGAGACCCCCGGGAAGCTGCGGTTCACCACCATGAAGGTCGAGCGGTCCTCGAAGCCCTTCGGCCCCCTGGGCTCGACGCGCACGAGGTTCGGCGAGAGGGCCTGCCGACGGGTCGCCGACGGGGTGGGGGCACGGGGCGCGGGCGTGCTGAGAAGCACGGGGT